ACTTTCTCTTTGCAATCGTCTCTCTAAGAACTTGACTCATTTAATGTCGCCCAACGCGAACAATAAGCTAAAAGTCTAAAATTGAGAGTAAAGTCATTGAAGAATATCAGAAAATCTGCTCGTTAGGAACAAAACAGTTTTTATGGCATAAATATGTATTTGACTAAATGACAATAGTCGGCTTAAAGTTCCATCTTCAGTCAATAAGTTTTTCTTTTCTTTGATAGGCTGTTTGTAGATCACGCGACTTTCGAAATGTGGTTTAGTCGCACGAATTATTGCGTACATAAACACAGAAACTAATAAAAAGCTTTGATGCAAAGCAGCTTTGAACTCTCAATCTGCATCTATATGTAAAAATTGTTTTCCCCGACTGACTGTTGGTGATTAAACTTGTATCTTTTTTTGGATATATGAGCGTGGGGCGGAAAAGCAATATCTAAAATTTGAATAATCATAAACTGATCTCGCCTTGCATGTAAGCACATATAGAAGTCACATATCTGATGGATTTAAATTTGAATTAGCTTTTACTTTAATAATCTTTACATTGTGTGTGTTGCAGGTTCTACAGCGCATTGATGATGTTTCTTTGATGTGCGACAAGCGCATTGCGAGCCTCAAGAAACTGGCTCTGAAACCACCGCGTCCGGTGCAGCAGGTTACCCCAGAACCAGCCGTGCCGCTGCAGCCACCAGGTGGTGCGCCCCATTTGCTGCGCCGTAAACCAAATAAGGTAAGTGAGCATTTACAGTTGTCGACAAAAGTATTTTTATCCATTTATTGCGTGCCGAGTCCGCCCACTTTAATAACACTCCGCAACAAACCTAACTTTTTATGTGCGGCAAGGCTGCAGCCTGCTACCCAAAGAAAATAATTTTGTTCTATTGTAAACTTTTAAAATGTTTTTCAAGCTAATCGTTTTTTTTTTGCCTTTTCAAGGAAATTTAATTTATATTAATATCATTTAACGTTTTTAAAATAGTAATACAAATACACTAGTCATATTTAGACAGGTACACTTTTTACTTCTCAACTATTTATTAATTGAATGATTGTTGTGTTTGCTGTAGTTTTTGTGAAATTTTAACCTAGGCAGATTAGTATCTGAGGTATAAAGAAATCAAAAGTTTTTTTTTGGATATAAGAGATGTCGAACAAATTTGGCATCTTGAAGTTTCTTTATGCATTTTAATATTTGGGTCTTACGCACCTTTTTTCTATTATGAATTTAATTAGGAAAAATATTTTAGTAGTTCCAGGTACATGCAAATGCACAACTCAATTAGGCTCTTGTACAGGGAGTGGGGTGAATTTTTTGTGGGTAAAGCATATAAAAAACATCCGAGAATTGAAGAGAAGCGATGCAACAGTGGCTTATTAACCACCGAACCACTGAATATGCGATGCGTTTTTATTTGCATTTGAAATGCGCGCGAAAAGCAAAAGATTCCTAATTAAACAATGAACCGCCGCTTGAGTGGTGCCTGGCCTTACCCATTAAAAGTTTTAATAGAGGGTATAATCGAAATTGGTGTAAGGCCTAAAACTACTTAGCTAAGAATGAAGACAAGGTTCCTTCGAGAAAGGATTTGCAGGAATGTAGACCAGAGAAAAGACTAAATCGGCGGTATTAGACCTGCATACAAATAGGTATCTCAGACACCTAGCATGAATATAGGGCATTTAAGAGCCAAGCACGCCCGACTAGAGCACTCTTACTTGTTGCCTTTTGATTTGTTGTACAAATTTCAAGTTCATTGTGCGAAATTCACACGAAGCTCTGCTTTATCTGTACAAAAGATTCAGGCCCGCGGCTGGGGCCAATTGTTGCACCGACGCCATAAACCAGCCCAAACAAAAGCCCACGGCAAGACAAAGCCGCGACGGTTTACCAGGCATGTGATAAGACAAATGCCAAGCACAAGTTTCACTTTTGCTGGCCGCACAAATCGTAGATTACCACGGAGACAACGCCGACCCACAGCTCGGGGCAAGCTGCGCTAACTGTCCATCCACAAGGGGTATGCGACTGGCCCATCAAAAGTCGTATGAGCTCCAAATGGTTCCGAAATTTCATAATTACCTTCTGTGCGCCCGGTCCGAGCCAAATTAGTGCAGACAGCGCATAATTGAGATGAATGCCGAGTGTCGTTTACCATTAGGTCTGCTTTGAAACATTTACATTAAATGATTAGCAGAGTGTTTCCCCTCGAAGCGTAAAGAGTACGAGGAGTACTTAGTTTCTAGTAGTATATTAACTTAACTCCTCTGACGGATGCTAGTTTCTGTTAGTTCAATATTGATTAAAGTTAGCATTAAGTATTCACAGTGATCACTTTCTATCTGCACTGATTTCACGTCCACTTCTGATTTAATTGGACTCGATCCAACCACTGAAGTATACGAGTTGCAGACAGTGCGAAAAATATAGTCAATATATGCGGAGAGTCTGTTTAATGCAGTCGGGCATAATCATAGAATAAACTTGCAGATGTAGTCATTTTTCTGTTCATTCGATCCTAACTGCACTTGTGACGAGCTGCACAAAAGGTTGCAATGGCATATTAAATATTTCCGCTGGGCAGCGAGAAATCCAGGAAAAAGAAATTTGCAATCCCGCATTGAAAATAAAAAAAAAAAAAGTATACAAAGTAATTTTCATAAATGCAAAGTATTTTCTAAGTATCTCGTTCAAATTACTGTTAACTGTGCGCATTCCCGTTGCCTCCAATTTCCTCTGACCACTTTTCACTTGGCATTCAGAAGCCTGGCCATAAATGGCCAGTGCCCTGCTGTTCTATGCATCGCTTACAGATTTCTAATGCAACAATACAAATAGAAACCACGAAGAAGCCAAACGATATATATACATATATTTATACCCCCTCCGATGAATCTAATGCTGATCATCATTAATCTTCATGGCAAATTTTGTCTCTCTAGCTCTAGCTCGACTGGGAAAGATATAGATTCAATTGCCAAGCAGACTTCTATTATACAACAATGTGATATTTTAAATACTTATATAAAAGTAAAGTAAAGTACTTTACATTTGTCTTGAGATAGATAAAAGAAGTTAAGTATATAAGGGAAACGATTAATTCTTATATTTTAAAGTACTTAATATTCGTCTGGAAATTGATGAGTTAAGTATTTAAGTGAAATGATTTTAATTCAAATTCCAACCTTTTTTGGCATTTTCAACCAAAATGAATAGATATTGTTTAAAAAAATTTTAAACAATGTTTGATCCATGTTTTTCCATAAACGACTCCAGGAATTTGATTAAAACAAATATTTTCTATGAATTTGCCTTTTCGAATATAAAATTATTTTATGAGATTCATTTTTAACGAACCAAAAACTGAGGTATTTTTATCGCCTGAATCTCGCATACAAACCCAAATAGCTTACCTCTTCGCTTTGGGTCAAGTTGTTATTTGAAATAGATACGTGCAATACCTGAACAGAAGAGCTTATTTATTGTGAAATCTTTCAGATTAAAACGGACGGGTGTTTGGGGAACTCTTTCGTCTACATATTTCAGAGAAGTGCTACTTTTATGCGTGGCCCATGCTAAGACGAAGTGTGGCGGTGCAAGTTTTTGCTTTCTGCTAAAATGCAGTTTTTGCCATTTGAATTAGACTGACAGACGGCGGCGGCCTGTGGCAACTGCGATCTGCAGCAGCTGTCGACATGATTGATGTCCAAGTCGAGCTATTGTCTCCAATTTTTCACTGACACTGTTTAGTTTTCTTAGGTTTTTTAACAGAGTATTTGTATTGCTCCAGCGACCCGTTCTTGCAGCTTTGTATGCGGGGCATGAGAGTATTTGGAAGGCCTTAATGCACTGCGATCAACATGTGGGTAAGAAAAGCATTTGGAAGTAGTATAGCATTAGCTTCTTTGCAAAACATTTTGGCATATGGAGCCAAGTTTTTGCTCTATGTGCATTGTGTTGACGAGGCTGCTGCGATTTCACCTGCACAGGTGGCCATTAAGCAACTCTTTGGCCTGTCGATAAGTCAAGCAAACAATTGAAAGTCGTCTTTACGTGCAAACAGTTTCTAATTGTTTTCTGTTTTTATCAGTTTAAATCGAATGCAATAATGCGGCATGTCGCTCAACGAGGAGATGAACACAGCTGTCTGTCTCGGCTGTGTATGTTGCCGAAAATGGGAGTATGATGGGCATTGAGGGGTATCCCCCTTCTTGCGTCTGGCTCGTCCCAGTTGCCTAAGCGTTTCTTTCTGTGATTGTTGCAATCGAAGCTTTTCCATAATTAAATAATTAATCGTCAGTTTATTAGGCCCGTGCATAAGCTATGCGCTCTTTCACTTTCACATTTGTTTACACATCTATCCATGTACCCATACGCATACACAATATGCGAGATATTAAACAATTATGAGACGACGCCAATTGAATGTGTCGCCGCGTCGCGTTGTGCAAAGTGAAATATTTTTATTGCTGGCATTGTCAAAGCAACGCACGTAAGGTTAAGTAAGTGCAGCAGGCAGGCAGGTGGCAAGCAGGCGAACTTGTGGCACGAATATTTGCGGGCTTCCAAATATGTGGGGGCCTTTTCACCGCCTCGGCCTGCCCGCAGTGGAGCTCGGAAAGTAGCTCTGTCACACAATGCGCCCCCTTTTCAATGGGTGTTGCACTTTTGCCTTCTACTTACTATTATTAATTATTGTGAAAAAAAAAACACATTTTCATACAGCGCACTGAACTTGTGAGAGGGCCCATCGTAGCCCAGTCAACCCACTTGTCACATTTTCTCAGCTCTTAATGCACTTTTTATGCACTATACCTATTGCAAATGGGCAACAAAGGGTATGATGGTTTTGTGCAAATTTCTATTCCAGACAGAATTGCGGCATTCTCGCCAACCCCAACCAGTTTATATTTGTATTATAAAGCCATTGCCCTGCCATATCTTTATAATCTACAAACAACTATTTTCAACTGAGTTTAATTACAATTAATTTTACAAGGTATCTCGCGTAAAGCACTCTTGTTTTCTTTGATTTGAATGAAGTGAATTCGTCAATATGCATATGATGAGTGCATATATATTATTTTTTAATACTTATAATAATAACCCAATTGCTTAGATGTAAATGACGTGGTACTCGGCTAAGGTCATGCTCGGGAAGTGTCCTTCGAATTGGACTAGTTACTGAAATTAAATAGATTTGTGTGATTCTCTTGTTCATTGAACTCAACGACCACGAACATATACACAATATTGCTCGCACTCGGACTTCGTATAAAAGCGATTCGTGTTGCCGCCGCAGGTGGAGTAGACAAAAGGTAGACAGGACTTGTGCTGTCGGCTGTAGTACCACATGCGCGTGTGGGCACTGCAGCGCCCGTAATCGGGAAGTTGACTGCAAATGGCTGTAGGGGTTGGGGTTTTAGTGGTCTCCTGGCTATTTATTATGAACATATGCTTACATATATGGTTTACTATATCATCGATGGACCAGCCCATCGTGTCCGAGAGCAGCATCATCATCAGTATGAAGCAGCAGATCCTTAACATTTTTGATTTCAATTATTTGTTTGGGCTTAGACGATTGCTAAATAACAGAATTCCATGCACTGCATAGACTGAGGAGAACCACCTGCCTTTTATAGACCCAGAATCGCAAATACCTAACAATGAGTCACATTTTAAAGTGCTTGAACAGAGTTTTGTCTAGTCATAGATAAATTAGCAGACGCAGCCAAAGAATTGATTTTAATAATAAAACGAATGTCTAACAGCTTTATTCGATAAATGTATTGACTTCTGTTTTAATGGATATGCAAGTGCATTTCACTTTCACTATAAGTGCTGGCAGCTCCAAGTGCAAATCCGAATTCAAATCTTTCGACAAATTTCTCAAAACAAAAACAAACCATAAACTGCAACACGTTGTGAATGCCAATCAAGATCAAGTCAGCCAAGAGCCGAAAGCCAAATGCACAGCCAATTAGTCGCTCAGTCTTGATGTTTCGTGCACGCCTCTCCAGCCGAGAATTTCCATCACACGTCGTCACTTCACAACAATGACATGGTCATGAACATGCAGGCGATCGGGCAGCCGGGCAGCCGGGTAGCCGGGTACTCAAGCAGGCAGGCCTTGCCGAATTTTCACACCCGTGGCGGAGACTACTAGCGAATCCGAGCTGCCTACTTCTACTATGGTGGTATGCTGAGGAGGCCAAGAGTTCATTGCACCTGTGTGGTGTGACTAAAACGTATCTGCCAGATACGCAGGCAATAATCTGTATCTAGTCACTTTTTATACCCTTGCAGAGAGTATTATAATTTTGTCGCAAAATGTGCAACGCATAGCAGAAGATATCTCCGACCCCATAAAGTATATATATTCTTGATCAGTATCAAGATATAGCCATGTCCGTCTATCCGTCTGTCTGTTTCTACGCGAACTAGTCTCTCAGTTTTAAAGCTATCGCCATAAAACTTTGCATACGTCCCTCTTTCTGTTCCACGCAGTGTATATGTTGGTACCGGCTGGTTCGGACTTCTATATCATATAGCATAGGAAAGAACGGTCGAAGAGTATGGTTCTTTTATATATGAAAAATCTTATCAACATCGGCCTACTGTATCATATAGCTGCCATAGAAACAATCGGTCGAAAATAAGGTTCTTGTATGGAAAACTTTTTGTTTTTCATGATATCTTAACCAAACTCGGTATTAACTATGTATACGAGCCAAGTTTTATGAACTTTATGAAAAGGTTTGTTCTGCAAGGGTATTAAATCTTTCGGCGTGCCGTAGTTAGCCTATCTTTGTCGTTTTATTTGCAAACACGTACCTCATCTATGCCATTAAATCTCGGTGAGGTAAAAGAAATATATTTTAGTTTTTTTACGTGCATAAATCGCAGAGTCTGAGAACTTTCACGAAACTTCCGCATGTCGCCGGGTCTACCGCAACATCTGGTCGGCAACATCTCTGAAGATCGTCGCGCGTTGGCCCTTTGAATATGGCGCGTCGCTCAGTGAAACTACCATTAAATAAACCATTGCGCCGCTTGACACTGTCTTAGATCAGCAGTGCCCTAAGATATAACTGTGTTGAGCTACATAAAGTGAAATCTCTTGATGCCGATGATTGCAAAACATTGCGCAAAAGGGTTTCGCAATACTCGGCAATACTCAGATACATTCGTTAGAACGTCATGATTCGCTGTTTTTTGACCTTGGCAGCCATCAATTCGGCTACGAATGCCATTAAAGCCACGGTAACGCCCAAGACCCAAACCAACAATATTCCGGCAAAGTTGGACATGGCCAGAGTGACTGGCTCAATGTTTATATCCTCCTGACCGCCGCCTGACATAGTGCCTTCCACCTGCTGCTGTATCTGGACATTGAGGTTGTCGGCTACCACACGGTACTCCCAGTACTTGTCGAACCCAGACGAGTGCCAACGATAGACCAGCTCATTGAAACGTTCGAGCAGTGGCCACAGACGTGGCACGAAAGCCACTGTGTACTCATAGTACAGATCCTCCTGCATAATAACCATGTGTTCAATGGCCTGCCTGGTCAGGTAATCGCCAATAGCAAAGTGACCTAAGGAAAATACACTTGGTATGTTAATGTGTATAAATATGTGAGCAGCTGCATACCGAAAGGCAGACGCTCCACGGTGAATCCCATGCGCTCCCGCTGCGCCAAGTCGAGTAATTGGTCATCGGTGTAGATGTGAAAGTTGCTCAAAAGCTCGTGCACTAGCGGCTGGAAAGGATCAAAAGCAATTGGGATTGATGAAGTTAATTTGCAGAGCTGCTACTTACATCATCAGAGCCACGAATCGATGATACCCACGCTTCTGAGTTGGCCGCCCATTGTAGTTTTTGGTTACGCATACGCTGCATCGTGTCGGCCGCCTCCCCTAGGCTGGGTATGGTCAATATGCTGGCCAGACCGCCTCCATAGATGCTCGTAATGATGATGTCGTTGAGAAAGCAAGCGAAGAGAAGCACGCGCACTGTTACGGAGCGCGCATTACTGTTGCCCGACTGCGATATGAACAGCTTGAAGGTGGTGACCAATCCGAACTTTGTGCTCTGCCACCAGCCGTCCTTTGGATATGTAGAAGCGTACAGCTCCTGCTCTCTCCTGTGCGCCAACACCAGGCCCAGCGTTTCAATGCCCAGGCAGAACAGTACGGCGGCCCAGAGTGTACCTTGAAACGGCTGCAACGGTAAATACCAGCTGGCCAGACGCAGTGGCGCAGGCACTAGACACGTTATGCCAGAGCGCGCCAGATACATGGACAGGTCCAAGTAGGTGTAATCATCGTACCAGGAGTACATTGCGCCAATGCAAATGTCGACCTTATGCTCGATAATCATGCCCAAAGAGCCGTCTCCCGTCATGTTCGGGTAGATGGTGCCCCAGTCGTAGGCGTCAGCTACATACCAAATATATTAGCACCTACCTTAGACTAGGTCGATCCTCATCCAGTGGGCGTGGTACTTACATGTGTCTATCTGCACCGTACAATTGAATTGGGCGCAAAAGCTGAAAACTACACGCGTCTCTGTTCCATCGATGTACACTTTAGATAGTTCCGATTCGTCGGGCACTCCGATATCACGCGCATTGCTCTGGCTGCCCTGCACGATCGAAAGTCCATCAGTTCAACAGTGTCGACTGTCAATATACTTACATATTTGATGACCGTGTAAGGCCTGTAGTCAAAGCCATTCATGATCAGTTCACGTCCCTGCAAGTCTCTCAATTTGTCAGGAAAAAGCGAGATGTTATGCTGAAATCGCTGCTCCATCGCATCGTAACGATCCAGCAGCTCCAGCTGATCCGGCCGTTCCGATCTAGGTCCCACATACTTGTTGGTTTTGAGCTCAAAGTCAGTCGCATTCGCATAACTGCGCACCACAAAGAGTATGTTGGGCTGGTCTGAAAATAGTGGACTTATGCCGTAAATACGCTCAGTACAGTCTCGAGCCATTTACCCTGGAAAAAGAAGTCTCGATAGCATTCCTCCGCCAAATCCTGTGCAACATGGGCAAATATGAATTTGTTGTGCAACGAGCGCCATATGGAATACATGGCTGCCTGTGTGAAGGCGGCCACAAAGCGGGGAATGTATTCACCAAAGACCAGGAAACTCTGTCAAATATAAAAAACTCTTGTGCATAAGTGCAATTCCACTTTGACAAAATGATTACCTCGCAGTGTGACATCTCAATGGATAAGGTGAGCTTAAGCAGCAAGTCATCATACACCAGGTCGCGCTCCTTTAGCTGTTGCCTTTTGGCTGCTGCATCGACTACATTATCCTCGAAGCTGCTGGCCAGAGTGGCAATGTTGATATCTACAAAGCTAGAGTACTCGGCAGCTAGGTCCTGGGGCTGAAACTCGTAGTCATCGTGCCACAGAACACAAATCGTAGTCCCATGCAAATATCTCTCAACTGATCACAAACATATTAAAACCTGCTCAGCTCGAGTTAGACAAGCATGAAAATACACTTACTGATGAGGTTCAAAAGAAGCGACCAGTTCTTGTCCGCAAGTAACATCCCAAGTGACTGACAAATGGGTCTGACGATGTCTGTAGCTCTGAGCCAACTGTATTGAATTGACTCGTTGGGCAGTCAATTGCCATCGAGGGTAATTATTGGCAGACAAACTTATTGGTAATCTGTTTGTTCATGTACGCAAATTAAGCAATTGTCCAATTCGATTCTAAACTGTTGTCTAAGAGGGGGACAGTTTAGTCCAAGCAATTTATACAGGGATATAAACGAATAGCAAAAGAGCTGCCTCCTTCTTCTCGTTCTGCACTAAAAAGATTGTTTTCTTTTCCTTTGGAAGAGTCAGAAAATTTTATTTTGAAATCGGATTATGCATACAAATATATTTTTAATATTCTTGAAATATATTTTTAACATACTTAAAGCATTTACAAATTTTATTTCGATTTTCTCAATGCTGTGGTATTCCCCTGTATTTATTTGTGGCCTGCCGTCCAATTGAATACTAAATACGAACATAATTACAGATCTTGATAACTTAGGAAGATTGCAAATCTTCGGCTTAGGGGAAACTGAAGCATTTTCGCAGACAATGCGGAAATTAAAAAAAAAAACATAAAGCGCATCGAAAGACGAACAAAGTTTTGAAAGTTGTTGAAAAGAAAGAAACTTTAATTGATTTTAAATGAGAAATTAAATGCGGTAATACTGAGGCACAAACTTAAGCACGTGTAAGTATGCGTAAGTCAGAAAGTATATTATCGAAGGGAAAACGACTTTAAAGCCTGCTCCGAACTGCGGATCGGCGCGAAGGGTCACTCTCTTCTCTCCACTTTCTAAGATTTAAAGCTTATGCTGACCCGCCTGCAATCCATGTCGGAATCAGACTGTGACTTTGGGCTTTAGCTCTACTCGAAAAACTTACTTGACTTTTGCAAAACAACAATTGAGTCTTAACAATATAGAATAATAAAAATAATAATAATAATATAATAGTAATAATTCAAGATTTGTTAACGCTAATTGAACTTCATTCTTCATTAGCTCAAATTCCAGTTGAATAATTTCTAGATTATTCTACTTTTGTGTTTAAAGAAAAGCCTTCGTCTTCTATTATTTGTCTTCAACTTTGTAAATAAAACTATAAATGAATGATAAAAATTGACAAATGATAAAAGGTTTTATTTTACTCTTCAAAGCAAAAGATCATTGTTTGTGAATTGCTTTTCTATTGTAAAGCTTATTTTTTGCTGACTTTTCTTAGCTTAGAAGCAATCATATTTTGGTCAAACAGAAATTGACACAATTTTCTTATTTCGTTTGAACATATTATTTTGCTCTTTTCTCTGCTCCACCTTTCGATTGAGGCCAAGTTGTTCACAGAAAAAAACGAAAAAGAGGGGCTATCTACGGCACGCCGAGGATTTAATACTCTTGCAGATTTTTGATACTGATCAAGCATATATATACATTATGGGGTCCTAGATGTCTCCTTCGATGCGTTACACTTTTCGAGACAAAATTATAATACCCTCTGCAAGGGTATAACAAATATTAATTAAAGCTCGCCAGAACATATGCAATGTTACGTGATCGTTCACAACTATATCTTAAAGTTATATATTTTGGAACTACAATATAAACTGAGTGTCTGATTGTATGTTTATATACACAGCTCATATATGGTTAAGTTTTTTGCTCATTGAACAACAGACGAAACCAACAATTATGGAAACAATCACATGAATAACAATAAACAAAAGAACGATGGTCACCATGGCATCTAACCCGATTTGGTAATACCAATGTCAATTTTAGCAATCGAACAGACAGCTTATCAAGGCAAATATTAGCTTATTGTGACTTTAACTAACCTTACAAAGGGTTTAAAAACGTTATGAGAAATAAATGATAGTCGCATTTGCCTCTCAATATTACGAGGATTGGAATTTTGAAGAAAGCTGATTAGTCATTCTCTTTAATCTAAACAAATAATAGGTGTTTGATAGCATGCTTTTTTTATGTATTATATTATATGTATATATTATGTATTGTAATGGATCTGTTTAGAAGTATTTCATTAAAATCCGCCATTATTCTAGTTGACTTACCGATTCGCCAGACGATATTAATATGGGACAAGTTTCTCTAGAAATATTACTCTGCTACATTTTTTGAATCTTTATTATTTTTACTATGCTTCTTATATAAATCCTATTAACATCGGAATATTATATTATACATAGTATATTATGTATTTTGAAAATTAACTTAATTATGCATATATTTGGATAAAACAGCCCCTGCTGCATGCTTATGAGGATGTATATATAGTACATACTGAACAGACATTACATCGTTATGCCACAGTTGAGATTAATTGCACGCTCAGAGCTGCACGCCGCATTAGGTTTTTCACTTTCATCGGTTTGGGCTTTCCTTTCGTTGTTGGGCTTAAATGTCAACGGTGAGTCGGCCGAATCGGGTCTGTTTTGGGCCATGAATGCCCGCTGCGGCGGCAATGAAATCATAAATTAATTTTACGATGCGAGCTGCGAGCTGCGAACTCCACAGCTTCAGTTTAATGGAATTACATTTTCTTTATATACAATACTTATTTGTTATGAGATCATTTCTCTGGCTGTGCTTGGTTTTGTTTTGCTTTGCTTTTCTTTTCTTTCCTTTTTCGTTTTGTTTAATTTAATGAATGAAAAGTCAAAAATTTCTTTGCTGCACCGATTTCAGCCGCGTTTCACTTTCCATTGAACCCCCCGTTTTTGGCCATGGTTGACTGTTTGGGTCGGTTAGTTGTAATATTTGGACTGCAGCCGGCTGCTTCGACTCATGCGTAATCCTTTTGTGGGCGCTTAGCTTCCGTTTCACGTAATTTCACAAGCGATCGCCTTCAATGCCGGTGACGCCCAATACAACAAATGCGAGTGTAGTGTAAGCCAACTATTGCATGCTCTCATCCATAAACGGATCAGCACGAACGTACAAATTAAGCTCTTTATTGGCAGCCAGTTTGCAATCATATCCATGGCCTCCACGTCAAACTATCCGCTACATCTATGCATATGTGTATACTTACATATACGTATGCATGTTTACACAAATTCAAAAACAACAAATTATGCTTATGGCAGCACATAATTTTATTATTATATAAAAAAGATTCCGTTGCGCTAATAAGGATTAATTATTTCAGTCTCAAATCAAACCAATTTTTAAGTTCGATAGATATATATGTTGCAAGCAATATGTTTTGCCAAAAATTCGATATATGCTGCATTCGGAAAAAATGTTTTGTTACTCTTACCAGCCATACAAATTGGCTCAAAATTAAATATAAGCCTTTTAAGTGTTAACATGTATAAATATGCCCCTAACTTGTTAACAGGGCAATACCTTGCCCCGGCTTGCCGCTACTCAAAGACAGTTTGGCAAATCTGCCATGTAAGTTTTTGCACACACACACACAGCTATATATGTGGGAAAATATATAAATAGATTTCTTGTTCTGAGAGCAAGTTGTGGTCAATGCCCGAGATGTGTGCAGATGCATCAGTTGCAACCCAAGTAAGCAGGCGGGGCGGAAACTGTGAGGCTGAGGCTGGCATTTAAAAACGATTTCGTACGCTGATTTTGTGCGGTTCGAACCGCACGCAACACGTTGCATGCAACCGATCTAACCGAGCTGGGTTGCCGTCAACAATCAAGCCGTCCGCACGACAGTTTGAGCCGATCTTTCGAAGCCGCAACAGCGTTGCGCACCGCAGCCGAATACGAAATCGAGTCGAGTCGCGTTGAGAGTTAAAGTTAACAAGTGGCAGAGTTAACGCCGTGATTTGCATAACTATGAAGGGCTTCACGAAGTGCCGAAAGGCAGGCGCCCTGTGATTGGCCGTTTTTTTTATTGCCACATAAAGACGCGATCAATAAAGTCGCCACAAAGGCCAACCACGCAAATGGACTATCTGCATTTGCATTAGAATAGGGCAAACCGGGCGGCAGTGTTGGTGACAGTGACTGTGACTGTGAAATGTGACTTGTGAAATGTAAAGCGAATCTGTTGCAATTTTTGGTTTTTTGTGTCGCGAGTTGTTTTAGTGAAGAGACTCATGTGAAATTGGACCATCTTGTCCAAATCGAGATAAATAAAAGTGAAACTTTCGAAACGCGTCGAAGGAAAATGCCCATTGGCAAATTACCGCAGGCGGTGACCCGCAGGCCGTCGGCCAGCGATATCCCTAGTATGGACAGCACAATTGACTCGCGCATGTCGACCAGCGAGCTGCTCCCGATGGAGCTGCTCAAGGTGAACTATGTGCACCAGTGCAAGCAGGCCATGATGCGCAAGTCGAACGAACCACCTCCCACGCCGCATCTAAACAATCCCGCACGCTTCGTGGGCTATCGCCGGCAGCCCCCGCAACTGCTGCACAGCGTCACGCATGTGTCGAGTAACGTACGTAAGTCAGTGCCTGCCCTGCCACCACCCACGGTCGAGTCCTGGCTGTTGCTGGCAAAGCAGCCACCGCAGCCGCCGGCACAGCCAACGCGGCCGGATGAATTGGACTGCTGTTGCTCTGGTTCGGGCTGTTCGTGCTCCGACTCCAACTCGGACGCCACCGAAACTAGTACCGTGACACCGGACTGTGAGAAGTCACAAAGCTGGAACTACCGTGACGTACGTCGCGACCTGGCACGTTCCGGCGCAGCAGCAGGCATCAGATCCAGAGCTGATCGCATTGCCCGCATCGAAAGAAGGGACGCCCAGCTCCAGCCATACTCAAAAACCGAAGCCAGCGAATACGGGCCTCCAACAGCCGGCGAGTGCTCGGCGTGCTTGCGCCAGCCCGAACCAGTCCGCAAGCTAACGCCATCGACGAACCGGGTGCCGCTAAGGTCGCGCATACCAAAGCCTCTTCTGCTGCCCAATGAGGCAGCTCCGAATAGCGAGGCAAACGCGCAGCTACAGCGTCGCGTAAAGCAGTTATTCCAGCAGGACATGGCCTACAATCCGAGCTCAGCGCCCAGGTGGATGTTCCAGAAGGCCGGAGGCGGCCACAGTGCAGACAAGGTGGCGCAATTGCCTGAGCAACAGTCA